AGGTACCAGGGACTGATGAGATGCTTTTTCCAAGGAGGTGGAATGGGGCAGACTATCTCTGTCCTTGTCGCACACTAGCTCTGTCCTTGTCTTACACATTGCGGGGATAGGGAAAACGCTTGATTTTGTCCTGTAGAAATCAACATGGATGCAACGGCCGCAGTCACGGTTGCGTGAGTCTGCCCCTGATGCTAGGCAACCGTCATTGCTCAGACGTGATTTTGCCGTATCAAGCTATGTTGTACTGATTTCTTTTCTCGTTTTTTTCTGAATGTTATTAATTAATAATGACGTATACTTTGTAACATTAATGGGAAACTCTTGATTATTTTTTCTTTATCATATGATGTGTACTCGGACGTCATTTTGCTATACCAAATGATATTCTGCTGAATTTTTTCTCACTTGTTTCTGAATGTTAATAATTTACATTGACGAAAGCTTTGTAACATTAATTGGAAAGTCATGATTATTTTGTTTTTATTATACGACAGTGTTTTCCTTGCTTGTGTTAATTCTGTTAATAATAATTATGTGCCATCTCATTAATGGTGTAATATTGTAGCGTTAATATTAGATGAATCATACATTGTTTTATTACTAATTACATCGATAATAATTAGTTCTGATCAGACTTCGAGATGTTCGGAATTTTTCATTAATGTCCATCAATTCGAGAGTTTTCTATCGAATGGTCCACGGATAGGGTGAATCTTGGTAATTAATTGTTTAAATTAAGACGTGAACGCTGCCTTCTGTGGAATTCGAGCAGTTTCAGTGTTATGCCACGGATGGTGCCATCGGTCCGTGGAGCGTGTTCGGAATCAGATTCCGCCTTTATCGATTATCTTTTCGCATTTGAATCTGATTTAATCCACCCCGTTGCTCAGATTATTTCCGTTCGGTTTCTTATTTTTTAATAAAGAGGAACAGTTCAGAAAGGAAGAAGAACTAAAAAAGAAAACTATATTCTCTCATTTCCCAAAACAAAAAGCTATTTCCCTCGATTCTTTATCAAATCCTAAACAGTTGTTCACTTCTGTCAATGAAGAAAACTAAGATATCAAGCCATATTTTCCTTACGACAATTTAAAACGTCAACCGTAATACTTAATTCCACCAGGAACTGTTCCATCCATACAAACGAATGGTTCTAACATTCATTTCTCGCGACTAAATCAATAAGCGCGTCGTAATTTACAAGTGAACTCGGTGTTAACGTCAGCATTCGACTCACTGAAGCTACGTTGGCAGTTGAAGGAACCAATCGCGCTGTCAAAATCAAATAAATCCGCAATATTTTTAGTCGGTTCGTAATTTAAACGTCAATCATGTCGAAACACGTTCGACGATCGCGAAAGATGGCGTCCCGCCCTCGTCGTCCAGGTATCGCCGATGAGTTTCGGCCGCGAAGTGGTGCGAAATAAAATAAAGTGAAGTCCCCGGCTAGGAAACGCGGACTCAGGAATAGATACGATCGAGGCAGTTGTTCTCATTTCGTACATACTTGGCGTGAGAAGCAACTGTGCCTTTTGATATGGCGCCAGCCATAGTCGTAGTATCCGGCAGTGGGTTTCGATTTAATCCCTCGCCATACAGTAATGAGCGAGATTCGCGATGAAGATTATCAGATTACCAGTTTCAACAGAAACTACATTGCTCTTTTCTTTTATGAAATTGCAAAGTAGAAAAAGCAATTTTAAATGTTGCTGGTGGGGATATTTTGAGAGAGTTCATTTTGCAGTGTTCGATAATATTCTGTGACATGTATTGCTACTAATAATAGATGTGTAATAGATTATTAGAAGATATGATAGATATTTAAACCATCTAATAAATTATTAGTAGATATGATAGTTAGTTATTAGATTATTAGCAGATATGATAATTCTTTATTAGATTATTAGTAGATATGATAGTTACTTATTAGATTATTAATAGATATGATAGTTCCTTATTAGATTATTAGTAGATATGATAGTTAGTTATTAGACTATTAGCAGATATGATAGTTCCTTATTAGATTATTAGTAGATATGATAGTTACTTATTAGATTATTAGTAGATATGATATATGATATTTGTACTAGATAGTTATATACTAGATTATTAGTAACCATAATAAATATGATAGTCATTCATTAGATTATTAATATATCTAATAGACACAATCTATCAGATCATTAGTAGACGTAACAGATACGACAACTATCTATCAGAATACCAATAAATATAATAAACACGATAATTATCTACTAGATTATCAGTATACATGATAAACATAAATACATAATACATCATCCATCACATCCGTCACATCTACTAATCCATTCAAAATCTATGCGCGTCGACAAAAGCAAGAAGATTGACAAACAACTAATCGATTTTTCACGGAACACAACAGCAAATATCATAAGAGACTTCCAGGAACCATCCAAAACTAGAAGGAAATCCATTAAATCTATTATCCCCGACGGTTCCCCGAAAACTGCGAGTTAATCCGGTCGATTTCGCACGTCCTACGAATCGCTAGTTAGAAAGCCGGCCGCGATTTACTAATCTTGGCAGCCGGGTCCGCGCGATGATTTAAATATTGTACGCGCTGGCGGGATTGTAAACAACGTTGGTAACGTCGATTTTTTCCCCTCGGACACGTTGCCTCGCTCGGCCGGTCGTCATTTAAACGGCTATTAGATTTTTCTCGCCGTTACTCGTTCGCGCGTCCCTCGATTCGAAAATTGAGCTATTTTTCTTTCTTTTTTTTCTGTCTGAAACTGGTGTAAGTCCATTTATTCGTGCATTGAGATATTTAAAGGTGTTCGTTTTCATTGATTGAATAAATTTGATTTTCATTGGTTCATAAATTTGGTTTTCTTTGGAAACATGTTGGATTTTATTATGTAGAAATGTTTACTGGAATTGCTAGGGGGAATCGATGGTTTTAGTTGTAAGTGGACTTATACCACTTTTGATAGTATATTTTGATAGAATTATGAGTTTTATTTTAATTGAATTTTATTCTTCTGGTGAAAGTGATGATTGTAAAGGAAGAATAATAATTAGAAAATGTTTTCACTGTTTATTGTTAAGAATAGACTTATTTCGCTTAAAAGAGAAAACATTTGTGCTACAAAATTGTACAGTTAAAATTTCGATTATTTTACGAAGATACTGTACATCATTGCTATCATAATTATGCAAAGAGGACATCTGTGTTTTATTAAAATTTTCATTAACTCATTTGTCCAAAAATAGACTTACACCACTTAAAAAAAAACATTCTTGTTACAAAATTCTCCAGTTAAAATTTTAATTATTTTACGAAGATACTGTACATCATTGCTATCATAATTCTCATTAAAATTCTCATTAACTCACTTCTGCCAAAAATCGACTTATACCACTTAAAAGAAACATTTCTGTTACAAAATTTTAGTTAAAATTTCGATTATTTTACGAAGATACTATACATCATTGCTATCATAATTCTCATTAAAATTCTCATTAACTCACTTCTCCCAAAAATCGACTTACACCGCTCTCAAAAAGAAGAACAGTTCAAACATCGCGCCATCGCGTCGTTTCGACGCGCAGCATCCATCAACGACACGGCCCATCAAAAATGTAAATATAAAACGCATCGTCGCATTTCGCTCGAATAAACATGACAGAATTTTCGTTGATCCCTTGGAATGTTAGATGACAAACTGCTGGCTAATTTAACAGAAACGCTTTCTGATCCCGAGACCTTGTTGTTCTTTGTTGCAGGACAAAGCAGCGTTAAAATAAACCGCGGTTCCTGAAATTGATAGCTTTATAAGATACCACCGTAAATTTATCCGGACATTTGAAACTTGATGATGACGACGGCTTCCAAGTGGCTCTTCTTGAATTCAGAATCATCAACGCGTTGACTGCCACGAGAATTTCGACTGTTTTCTACAATAATTCTTATTCCTTCTGTAACCAGGAATGATATTAGAGATAATTCTTCATTATTTCGTATCATAATACGCATATTACACTATTATACAGTTGTTTATGTTAATAAATATCTTCATTCGACATAAATTTCCTTATTGTCACTGTTCCCAAGCAATTTGAAAGTTCAACATTGGCAGTCCACGCGTGAAAGGCTGTTTTGAACCTCTTGAAGCGTAATTTTCTTAGCGATCATGACTGTGACATTGATTTGATCACCGATAATTCCTGAAAATACAAGGAAATTTTCTGTTTGTTATTACTGAAAATTATTTTGGTTACACAACAAATGTATAAATTAAATCATACAATTCAGAACTCTTTGCACTCTAAAAATGTCTCACTGAATATATTCAACGTTTTCTAATGAAACGTAGAAGACTTTTCCTGAAACCATTTTATTTCAATGTTTCATATGTTAATGTATTATAAAATGTTTAACCCCTTCACCTACAATATGGCGTCAGACTCGTGACGAAAATTTCCACTAAATCTGAGGAATCTAAATATTATCTAAATGAAATATTGCTTTCTATTATTTCACTCGAGAGGTGACTCTCACTCATCACTTGACCTCACACAGTGAAACTATAAAATTTGATATTTAATATTACACCTTGTGCAACACATCAATGTGACAAATATTGAAATAAAAATCTCTTCGAGTTCACGAAACATCTCATCAGAAAATGTTCAAATACTCCAGTGGAAAACTTCCGAGCAAAAGGTTAATCATTGATCTTTGAAGTAAACGTAGGCATAGAATAAGTATAAAAATTCTGTTTTTCGATAACTTATTAACACATTGAATGTCGCACGATTTCACATCGCAAAACACGCAAAATGTAGAAAACATATCAAATCATTCGATTGAATGGCATTATTATTGCACGTTCTATCTGAATGCCACGAAATTGGGTAACATTATCTGTAATACAGAAATGTTCCCAAATAATTTCATCGAGTGAACTATAATAATTAAATTTAGTCAAGGCATTCAACGTGTTAACGATAAAGTGGTTGCATCGATCACTGCTAAGAAATAAATCATAGAGCAAGTTGAACGGGATTTCGGTCGAAAGAAACGGTTGCGCAGCGTAAAGCCAGCTTAACGCGGGCCGTTTTGCTCGGACATTAATCGCTCATTAACGCATTCGTTAGACGTGATAAAGCGGGTTAGGCTCGCAAGGAGACGACGGCCGCGGCTGTCGGGCACGCGCGACAATTTATTCGGCCGTGGATATTTCGGTGGGGCAATAAAGTCTCTCTCTTTCTCTCTTCCGATAATGATGATATCTGATAGGGACGATCCGATAATAGAAAGCCGGAGTAGATCCGGCCGGCTCGGGCGAAACCGGCGTACAGCGGGTCCGATCGGGCGAAACGTGTTCTCGGTGGACGCATTGTTGGAGGATTGATAACACTAATGAACAGCATTGTTCTTACAGAAGGTTCAACCCTTTGGCTGGGATTTGTTACTGAAATTCTTTTGAAAATTGCCATGCATTTTTAAGGAGGAATGTTTAGGTTATGGAGAGTGTCTATGAAAATTGTACTATTTATGTTAATGTGTTAATGTATTGAGTGTAATGTATTAGAATTGTGTAGAGTTATTGAGATTTGTATTGTCGAGGGTTATTGTTGAGATTTGTATGGTTGAGGGTTGTTATTAGGAATTATTGAGATATAAATTGGTGAGGATTGTTTTTAGGAATTATTGAGATATAAATTGGCGAGGATTATTGTTAGGAACTGTTAAGATTTGTATTGTTGAGGACTATTATTAGGAATTATTGAGATTTATATTGTTGAGGGTTATTATTAGGAATTATTGACATGTAAGTTGATAAGAATTATTATTAGGAACTGTTAAGAATTGCATTGTTGAGGACTATTATTAAGAATTATTGAGGTTTATATTGTTGAGGACTATTATTAGGAATTATTGAGGTTTATATTGTTGAGGACTATTATTAGGAATTATTGAGGTTTACATTGCTGAGGACTATTATTAGGAATTATTGAGATTTATATTGTTGAGGATTATTATTAGGAATTATTGAGGTTTATATTGTCGAGAATTATTATTAGAAATTATTGAAATTTACATTGATAAGAATTACTATTAGGAATTGTTAAGATTGACATTGCTAAGAATCATTATTAGTAATTGACAAGAAGTACATTACAGTCACATTGTAATCCAATTAACTCGAAATGCAATTACTCCGGTGATTACATTAATCGACGACTGATTAATACAAAGTTTGAATTACACAGTCGAATTACGATGTAACCGAATTACAAGACAATTGGATTACAATGTAATGAAATTACGCAATCGAATTACGATATAATTCAAATAGCACAACTGTGCCGCAACCGAGCACCGAACGCGGCTGACGAATAGCGTTTCAAGGTAACCGCCGAAATATCCCGGTTCGCTTCTCTCCTGCATAGCTGATTTAATATTTTCCGCGATGGCTGCCAATTCGAGTGAGCACAGGCGGCGGCCGCTAACTTGTTACATTATCGTGACATAATGATCCGAGAATCCAAGCGCGCACGCCCGCGAACACGTTGCGCAAGTCGAAAGCTCGGGGAGCCTCCATTTTTGACAATGTATCGGTTGTAACGCGTGAAGGGAACAATTGTCGGAGTGGTAAAGGGGTGTAGCTGGCGTTGTGACAGGCTTCAGTCTTCGAAACTTCATGGATCAAGTTTAAGGGCTGAATTTTGCAGAGTCTTGAAGGTTTAGAGTCCTATAAAGTTTCAGTCAAGTCTTCAAAGCTTAGAGTCCTATAAAGTTTAATTAAGTCAAGCCTTGAAGACTTGGACATAAAGTTTAAGTCAAGTCTTGAATCCTCAAAGTCAATTTGATGCACATCAAATACTGAAACTATGAAAACTCCTACAGATTGAAACTGCAACAAACAAAATCTCCAAAATCTCCAAGTTGAAGACTTTCTAAGACCTTCAAAAGCTCGAGCTTAAGACTTGAGTCCTGACCACACCTGTCAAACCTCATAACTCATTCGTACAACACTAACAGCTCCTCTTGCAATATTTACCAACAATTCTCAACTCCTGATGAAGATTTCTACTTAATAATGCCTTAACCCTTCACAGTTCAAAGTGTCCTCAGATTCTCGCTGCGAAACTCACGTGAAAATCGTTTCATTCATTCCTAGTTTCCACCTGTCCGGTAGTTTTAGCATGAAGAGCTGAGAGACCTCGATGGCGAAAGTGTTAAAAAATACGTTGGCAGTGCGAGGGTCCAGCCGAGAGAATTTCCGGCCGATAGAACGGCGAGCGTTGCGCAAATGAAACTTTCGGTTTGGGGAATTTCGGGTTCGGGACGCGGCACGAATCCGGGAAACCTTGATCCGCCAGGATGGACCGAAGGTCGACCGGTAAAATTGGCTTCGCACGTTGAAAATCGTTCCAGGGACTCGTGTGACGAGTTAAATCGTCGTTCGTGATTCTTTGTGCAACAGATAAGTGGCTCTTGGCATTTATTGTCCTGCATCGGCGTGATTTATGGTCGTCAGTACGAGTGGCTAGTTTGTGGCTGTCTATGACAGCAGGATTGTCTTGTTTTCGTGCTGAATGTGTTACTAAACGTATACATACTTGTTTGTTTCAATGATAAATTACTAATAAATTATAAATAAATGATTGATAAATTATAAACGAATTAGAAATCAATAGATTGTAAATGATAAATAATAAAGGTGAATAAATTGATTAATAATTAATCATTTAGAAAGATAGATAAATAATAAAGGTAAATAAATTGATTGATAATTAATCTATGTATCGTTCTTGTTTATTTAATAAAATAAATACTACTAATTTTAATTTTTCCTTTCTTCCATTTACCTTCTTATTTCCTTAATGAATATTAAAAGAAAGAATTAGAAATAAATAATTTGGAATCTTCTAGTAGTTTCGTCGTCGATTTTTTAAAATTGAGATTCTTTGTCGCAGTTCCATTCAATACAGCAAAACAGTAAAATTGAAAATGCAAGATTAAATTTGAAATTCAATATTGAGTTTACGAGCCAAAATTAAATACAGTTCAATATCAGAAAATTGGGAATTCAATATTAAATGTAAAACTGAATTCGAGATTCAATATGAAATTTCGCATAAGCTGTCAACATATCAGGCATAAATAAAATAGTTCTATTCCTTAACACGTTGACTGCCTCATTCTTTAATAATAAAGGCAAATAATATTCAAAATAATTATTAATGATTTAGTATAACAGTAGTCGTATTACGCTATGGTCTAGCCACTTGTGTTACTAAATATTTTCATTTAAAATCAAGTTTTTTACTGTAATTGTTCTTCAGCAATTTGGAAACTCCGGCAATCAACGTGTTAATCTCTGTAAGATATATTTTCACGTTGATAGCAGCTGATATTATCGATACTAATGAGAAACAATGAATATTTCGAGTGGAAAGCGTTAGTAATTCACGTAGAGTAGAGCCGCGCCGACTAAATCGTGCCGGCACAACCTAATTAACCGCCGGCAACAAAGTACGCGAAATTGTAGCAAAATTAGGATGCTGAGTGTGCGGTCGGGAAAGGGAATTGAAGACTGTCCAAATAATATTGGCAGAGCGGTTCGCGGTGAATAACGAGAAAAACCTATATTTAAACGGACTCGAATCACGTACAGGCAGGGAACAGGACTTTCTTCCGTGACGAGTCACTTATCTGTTTTTCTGCTGTCGAAACAGACGATGGAGAATGAAATTTGGTACAATGGAGAATACGATTTTAGAGAATCTTTTGCTTTGTTCGTTCTGGAATAAGTGGAATGTAATTGAAAATGGAGTTGGAAGGAAGTAATTGAGATTTTCGGATAGTGGAAATTGTTATTTTTAATCGATACGTGTAGAGGTTGAAGTGAAGAATTTCTTGAACTTCAAATTGTACTGTTGAAGTATCAATTGATAATTTAGTTGACTAGTTTTAGTAGTTGATAATTTTGACAAAGGTATGTGGCAAGGACTGTATAATCTATCGGTAACAGTATTGTCTAATATCTTGGAATATATGGAAGTTAACGTTCAAAAGTGTAAATAAAAGTTAAGTCTCTTAGTTGCTTAGTAGTTTTGTCAAGTATATTTATGGAAGAAATAGTAGGACAAGGAGCAACTAACCAATTAGCTGAAGTAAACAATTGTGATTCAGGAAAGTTAAGAAAAAAAAA